TATTTTAATAAAATCATAAGGGAAAGGTTTTCTACATTTTAAAATTAAGATTACCTTAGAATATAGTAACCTTCCTCCATTATTTTAGTTCCAGATTAAATGGATTCAAATGGACTAAAAACAGTACATTGGGATGCATCCTTTTTATGTCAAACTCATATTAGTGGTAATTGGGAAGTTTGGAAATTAGAAATTTTTGTGTGTGTGTATGTAAACATTTCTGGCCTGAGCCACCCATTTTACAGCTCCCACCATGCTTCAAGTACAGGCACAAAGGGGCTTCCAGGTGACTTGCAAATGCCCCGTCACTACTAACCCTTTGAGTCAAATTATAGTTGCATTAAAGTTAAGCATATTCAACTACATGCCCTTACCAAATAAAAAGTGTGTGAGGAAGAGAACAGCAATTTAAATAAGCTTAGCCAGGGGTGAGCATGAAGTGAAAAATTGGAATTTGATGTTTCCCTGGTTGATTGCCATTCCTATGAGCAGCTCACTACAGAATATAATTATATTATTTACATGTTGAACACATACTCTTTTTATATGAATTATGTAACTGTATATTTTGTGCATTTATATTTAAACTCTATAGGGTTAATTATGTAAAACTATGTTTTAATTTCTGGGCAATTCTTTTCAGTAATTCAGATAAGAGTGATTTTTTTCACCTGACTTTTTCTAATTCCCCAGATAAAATGGGACTCCAGTTTACAAAACTTTTATGTGCAATTTGGCCCTGTTAGGATTCGGGGCTTTTAGCAACATGCTTCAAACTATTTTAGGTAGATAGAACAGTTTCACAGAGTAAAGGGTATTTAGACCTGGAGACTTGTAATGAGGGCCTGGGCCCTCATATGGCCAGAATATAAAGCAAGCAACATATTTGAGCCTTAAATCTGTATTTTTTTCCTTATAAAACTCATTTTTAACTCGTGTTAAGGTCTCATACAAGTTTTGGAATAAGAGTAATATCTTTGTGTTATAGTTTTTCTTAAATTTAGAACTTGTATATAATGAATGATGTGAGTTTTCATTGTTTAATTGTGTTGTAATTTCTTTGGTTATGAAATTAATGTAGCTCTGCTAGTAAAGAAAAAAAAGCTTAGTATCAGTGCTGGGATTGTAGGGCAAATTATGATTTGCTATACTTATATATTTTTAAGTGACAGTATCAGTAATCATGAAGCCCTATCATTGCTTTGCATTTAGGTACCACTCAGACCTGGAAAAATTTGAAAGTAACCAGTTTTCCTAAAACAGTTTTCTATATCTTGTGTTCTTCAAGGGGATTAAATTTTAAAATAGTACATTACTTGGGACATTATCCATATATTATGTATTATATATTGTACTATGCATTATGTAGGTTCACCCACAAATAGTCCTTAAATTTAATAAGATTATTAAACTGCAGTGGGGGTTTCTGCATATCTATAAATTCTAAATTATGTAATCTATAAATAGTGCTTGAAGTTTTATTAATTGTATGTAATTCTTGCAAATTTTATATCCAAAAAAATTTTTTTAAATGTTTTTGTTGATTTAAAAGAAAGGGGAGAGGGAGAGAGAGATAGAAACATCAGTGATGAGAGAGAATCATCTGTTGGCTGCCCACATTGGGGACCACAACCTGGGCATGTGCCCTGACCAGGAATCAAACCGTGACTTCCTGGTTCATAGGTAAATGAATGAGCCACACCGGTGGATGGGCTAAAAAAAATTTTTAAATGCTTTTATTTGGCCTCACCTGGCCAAATAAAATTGTAATAAAGTACCTCCAGATACTTACCTTTCAACAAGGTTATTTCCCTGAAAACATTCAGGAGACATTTTTGAAAGGAATTAATTCAAATTAAGGCAGAATTATTTAAAATTATAAAGTCAACCCTGTGTAGAGTTGGCAAAAAAAAAAAAAGTTTATCACTATCAAAATTTAGCTAACTAGCATCTTGCCACAGGATAGCCAGTATTTTAGTAATCTTAACCCAAAGACCTTTTCAAACTACTCCTTCTCACCAATCTGTGTATATTTCTTTGCATAGTCTTATTCTTAATCATATCTTCTTTCCTCTTGTACTTTAAATCCTGAACTTGCTTCATTATTTTTGCTTCACTCCTTCTAGAACAGTGGTCACGACCCCTTTGGGGGTCAAACGACCCTTTCACAGGGGTCGCCTAAGATCATCAGAAAACACATATATAATTACATATTGTTTTTGTGATTAATCACTATGCTTTATGTTCAATTTGTAACAATGAAAATACATCCTGCATATCAGATACTTACATTATGATTCATAACAGTAGCAAAATTACAGTTATGAAGTAGCAACAAAAATAATTTTATGGTTGGGGGTCACCACCACATAAGGAACTGTATTAAAGGGTCACGGCATTAGGAAGGTTGAGAACCACTCTTCTAGAACTTTTCTTTCTCTGAGATTACAACCTTTGAATTAAGTCATATGGAGCCTTACTAGTCATTTATCACTGTTTTGGCCCTTTGTTAACGGACCATTACTTTTATTAATTGGGAATCTATATAAATTTAAAATTCATCTATTCACAAGGAAAAAGTACCAGCTTCTATAAGTTTGGCCATTTTCATCATTCGTTCACTTTTTTTCATTTCTAGCAAAGAACAGATATTATTATTTGTACTATAACTGTCTGACAAATTTCTGGTATGTAGAACCCTGAATATTTTGATAGTTAAAATGTTTGAACTATCAATTGTAAATTACCCCTCCAAAATTGTAAGTAATTTTGCTCTATTGTCTCTCATGGTGACCATCACCCCTTGCTCCTTACCAACCCAAATAACATTTACCAATATGCTTTGGGAACAATTAGGCGGCCTCAGTTGTGTTCTATCCCCAGAAGAATCCATCAATGAAACTTAGTGAAGCCCTGGTGCCTTTTTCTAACTTAGTCAGATAGAAGAGAAATACTAAATATTCCTTATGCCCCCATTAAAATAGCAGCCAAAATATATATTTCCCATCATAGTTAATATGGAAGTAAAAGATTTAGAGTATCTAATGCTTTAAAAGTCTAATTCTGCAAGAATTTTCCTTATAGTTGAATACCTAGTACCTTGTCAGAGTAGTATTTCCAAGGTAATTAATCATTTGCTTAGAAACTATCTTTGCTAGTTAAGAGTGACATATATATTGATAATTTTGTAGATAATGCAATATTTTCCTGAAAAAGTTTAAAATGTCTTGCTAATTGCTATTTTCATTTTTAATCATTTTTCCTCAGAAACCCACAATCTGCCAAAGCAACCTCCACTTGCCCTAGCAATGGGACAGGCCACACAATGTTTAGGACTGATGGCTCGGTCAGGAATTGGATCCTGTGCATTTGCCACAGTGGAAGACTACCTACATTAGCTATGCATTCAAGGAGCTCACACTTATATTGTGGCATATAGTCAACATGGAAGTAGACCAGGTCTGCTGATTTGAAATTTAGATTTTTTTAATTATGTACTGGGGACAGGTTTTTGTCGCTTTACATTGCTTCCTAGTTTACAGCATGATGCAAATGATTTTCTAACTTAGTGTTAGGAGAAATTATTTTCCATCTTTAATCTCTTAGTTGTCTAAGAGTTAAATATTACTGAATCTCAGACGTTCAAATTTATCATCACAAATCCTTTAAAACAATTACCTAAAAGAAACCAAAATATCCTGCCTTCTTTGTTGGGGGGCGAGGGGGGGAAGGAAATGGAACAAGTTGTGTTGTGTTAGCATGTGGGTGATGTAAATTTCAAATTGGAAGATGTTCCGACCCCCCACTCACATATAAACATTCAATCAGTGTAACTTGCAAAATGCATAAACATCTGACAGTTTGAATTTATAGTGTTGATGGAAGAAATCATTTTTAATGTGTACTGTAAAACTTGAAATACTCAGGAGCTGAGTGAATATGTTTGTTGCTACTTACAATCCCGACCTGTTAGTCCCAGTAGTTTTGTTTTAACATGGTCTTTTCAACTTTGTTTCCTGTTTAACTACCAACGAATTCTGTTGTAGACTCACAAGTTTAACTTGTATTATAACAGTATTATATGTCAACGGTGTGGTTATGACCTTTATTTATATAAAAACCAAATATTTAGTCAATTTACTGTGTCTTAATTTAATCTTTGTACACCTTCCATTTTTAAGTGCTTAAATGAGTACTATATTGCAATAAAAATGTAGTGATATAATTAACCAGCCATTAAAAATTTACTTCTACAGATATTAGTGTGAACTGAATTTATATATTAGGTACTTACCTATTTCTTATGATTAATATAAAATTAGAGCTTAATGAATAATTTTTACTCTAAGTCTGAATTCTATAACCTAAAACTGTTCAGTTTACTAGCCTCCCTGTATTAGAGTCAGACCTGATAATGTGGGTGACACAGAAAGAAAGGGGAAAATTAATGTCCTTATTTTCATAATCACAATAAAGACAGGTTACTTGACAGTAAAGCAAACCCCCAAACCAGTTAAAAGTAAAATTTAAACAAGCTGTTCAAGAGGATGACCATACACTTTGGCTATTATTTTGTACACTGAGGTTTGAATCTTCTTTAAGTAGGTATTTATCTACACTTAGATATTGCATTTTCACAGCTACTTCTTTCTCATTCTGTATTTTGTGAAGCAAATTCTCATCAGTAGCACCAAAACATCTGAGACTCTAAGGCATCTGTGAGCTGCAGTTGGAAAGACTTCCTGGATATCCATTTCTCTTCCTCCCTGCCATTCCTGCCACAACACACCCACACTGTGGACTGGGAAGAGGGGTAAAAGAGGTGCCATTAGCAGTATCGTTTGTATTCAATTAAATGGATAAATATTTATAAAAAGAAAGGAAGACAATTCCTTTTAAATTGCTATTTCTTCCAGGACCCTCAAAGACTAAAGGCACAATTGTATTCCAGAAGGATGAAATGTGATGGGGTACTTCCCCAAATAGATTTATGACTTGTAATCCTTTAAAATGATTTATTAGATTTTTAAAGACAAATTAATCTTCTAAACTAAATAACTGCAAGTTCCATACATACAAAGTTCTCATTCTTCATTTAGCTTTGATTTACTTCTTAGAAGTTTTCATCTTTCTGACCATCCACCGTCTTTTAAACCTCTTGGCATTTTGTTTTTTCTGGGTTCCTAGAATAGAAAGTTTGTGCAGTAAGAATATTAGAGAGAAAATATTCCCAAAAAAGAATTAAAAACTTTTCAAGATCCTCTATATCAGCGGTTCTCAACCTGTGGGTCGTGACCCCTTTGGGGGTCGAACGACCCTTTCACAGGGGTCTCCTAAGACCATGGGAAAACACACATATAATTACATATTGTTTTTGTGATTAATCACTATGTAATTATGTTCCATTTGTAACAATGAAATTGGGGGTAACCACAACATGAACTGTATTAAAGGGTCGCGGCACTAGGAAGGTTGAGAACCACTGCTCTATATGAATATAAATACTAAAATTAGGTCTATTAAATTAGATTTTATGTCAGATATACATACATACTTATACTGACCTATTTTCCAGAAGCAACTTAAAAAATATTAATATAGAAGCCATTATAAGAAAAAAAGGTAATTCATACTTGAGTATTTGCTATTTCCTTAAAAGGAATATTATTCCATATATAAAACTATCATAACCAAGAAAATAAAGCTGGACCTTACCCCAACCATTATTCAAAAACTGGACTGCAGCCTTTTTCACTGGTAACCTCTTATTGTTAAGAGACAGGAACTTATTTACTACAAAAGAGAATTATTGATCATTTCTTTGTTTACTGATACAAAAAGTGAGAAAAACAGCCCATAAGGAAATTACCAGTAGTTCTGTTGGTTCCTGGGCCATACAAAGAATTATGTATGAAGGCTTTGGCTGCTTGTTGCCTTGAATCTCTCAGATCTTGATCTTTTAGCCTTAGAGCCACGTAGCTTTTATTCTGGCTGGTAGTCAAAACAAAAAGTCAAAATGAATGAGGTTGATAACATGCTTAAAGTATTTTTCTTAGTTGTCTCAAAAGGTGAAAACAAAATGCAGATAGGATAATAAATAAAAAATAAATTCCAGGGCTGTTTTATAAGAAATGGGCTAATACATTTTAGTAAGCAAAATATTTTGTTTTTATTCACATTTTAGTAAGAGCAAATATTTTGTTTTTATATAAGTATCACAACTGGTTTTCCAGAGGATCCAATCTGAAACTGCTACTAATTAAAATGTTTTCCTACGTAAGCCAACACTTTTCTCAAAAAGTTACCTTTATATCCTACATGAAAAAAAGACTCTTCTTACCCAATAGACTGTACTTTTTCTTTAGCTTTCTTGGACTCACTTCCTTTTTCACATTCTTCATTTTTCTTCTGCAAACTATCTAAAAAATAAAAAAAAGTTTTATTTCTAGTTAGCACTTACATAAAAATAAATCAAGAACATTTCCTGGAGTTCATTGTTAAATATCTACTCACACCAACTTGTAAGAAATAAGGCAACAGGCCCAAACTAAACGTGGCCAGCCATTCCTATTCCCAATAACATTGGACTACAAATGCTCTTGACACTTACATGAGGTTACTTAATTTAGAATAGTTCATACCTTCTTTTAACTTTCCTGGTGATTTCTTTATGCTAAGGGAGAACACAAAAACACTGATTGGAATGGCAGACAGCCAAGATTACTCAACTCATTACAGTTAAATCTGATTTTACAAATAAGATACCCCCTTTCATTACCACCACCCTCAGTTTTGACTCAGGATCTTTAATCAGTTTTAGAAAGCAAGTCACCCCCAAAATTCATGGCCACCAATTCCCAATCAACAAACTAGTATATATTGGATGGGAGTATCTTCTCAGAATTTAAAATTTGAAAGCATATCAACAGGCTTCAAAGAAGCAGATTGCTGTGGTTAATGGAGTTAAAGTGAAAGGTGAAATACAAAGTGGAAAGTGGTAGGCCTCATTTTTATTTGGAGAAGTCACAAAGGAATAATTCAACAGTTCAAGCACAAGAGACAAGCAGGGAGATGGACTAGGCTCAAGGAATCTGGTCTGAAAAATGACAAAACAGGATGAGATGCCTATACCATGCACAGTAGAAAAGCTACAAGGAGGAAGTAACGGGGTGGGTGGAGTGAGAGAATGAGAGGTGACATGAGTTTGGTTTTAAAGGATAAAAGGGGAATCTGCCACCAAATACATTTGTTTTTATGTTTAATGTATTCAAGATCTGAATAACTGTTAAAGTTCTACAGGACATTTGAAAACCAGGTCAAAGATATAGGTCTAAGCATTAAGGGGAGAGAAGAGAAAGACAAATATTTACAAGTTTAAATTGAGTAAGGTTTGACTGACTTCATGGGATAGATGAGGAAGAGGATGACTATGACATTTGCTTCAAACATTCAGTGGGTGGCAACGCTGCTGAATGAAATGGGGAACAAGGAGGAAGGGCAGGTTGGTGGCAGGTAAGGCAAGTATGGGTCAAGTTGAGTTTTAGGAGGAGCCTGCAGGTACATGTCTGATAAATTATCACTGACTGATAAATTTCAAGGCGCCTGTCTTATTCACCATTTACCCTGCCTGGTACAATGACAGATACACAACAATTGTTGAATAAATACTCTCGGATCAGGAACTCAGAAGCTAGCGTTGGCAGTGGGAATGAACAAAAAGAAATGGGGAAAGACTGCAAAGAGGTAAAATACTTCCATCTTGCACAGCAAATTAAAAAACCTGTATAATTGAAGCCTTATTGTCTAATTTAGTCTTTATTATTTCTTTAATTATGTGGATCCAAATAAATGCTCCAATATGTATCTCAAAGATGGGTGTATGTAAGCAAGTAATATAACAAGATCCATTACTTACTCTGTCTGTGAAGCGGTAGTTAACTTCTCTAGAACAGTGTCTGGAAGGAGTTTCCTTTTCTTAAAGACAGTTTAAAAGAATAGCGTGAGGTACATGACAACATACCTGGGTTGCTTGTGACGTTACAGGCTTGGGGATGGCCTTCTATCCTAGGCAAATAAAGAATGTCGGCTGCCCGCTGCCCCCCACTGCCTCCAAGCTGGGGGGAAACTGCGGTCACGGAGCTCAGAGCCCGCTCGACACTGTGGGGAAGACCCGGTGAAGACTGGACAGGGCGCCCGACCCTCCCGTCACCGCGCAGCCCGAGCGCAGTTAGGTCATGTCCCCCCGGAGTCAGCTCCCTGCGGCCCATCTGCCAAACACCCGACAGCAGAGCAGTCGCCGTCGGCACCGCCCTGAGTTTCCAAAGCACCTCAGCCAAGTCCAACAGCAACCCAGCGACACAGATAAACTACCGCCGGCGAGAAGCGACTGAGATGTCCCGGCGAGCTGAATGCAGGGCCGGCATTTAACCGTATGATTTCAAATTCACAGCTCTCCCCGCTCCCATTTTTAAGCGGTGGGCAGCAAAGAGTACGAGCATCTTTGTTTTCACCGATGTCTGAAGAAACAGGGCTTTCCCCCCACCTCCATATCCTACCAGCTTTGCAACAAGCACGGGAATTCCACCCCAAGCCGGGTTCTTTTAAAAAAGGAGATGCCTCCCTGCAACTCGAACCTTTTGTTCAATGAACAGCTCCTCGCGCCGCTTCCTCTTCTCCTTCAGGAGTGTTTTATCCCTGAGAGAAAGGGAGACAAGTCAGTGCGAGGACAGACAGTGGGACGGGAGGGACGGTTCTCCGGCCCCGCCGTGCGCTCCCGACCTGCGCGCCGTCTCCCGGACTCGCCGCTCCTCTTCCCTCGCTTCCGCCTGGGCGCTGGCGAAAGTCAGTTCCTCTGGGGCCTCCTCTTC